TACATCCTGATAACATTCCCAATTAAGTGTATCACTTTAACTACAATACATCTTAGATATGATGCTGTTTCTGTCACAGACACACCCAATGGCTTGTATTGCCTATGACAAATGATGTCACACATCTCAACTGTCCAGCCATGAGTTCATAAAGTCCATGAGGTGTGTCCATGTATTCACTGCCTCGGTTCCTGTGCAGCTTCCATTTATTGTAATCTCAATTTTGATCGATCGTTGAATTAAGTCTGGCCTGATGAACAAGCAGTAAAAATCTAAAGGTTATCAAATATCATTTTGAAACATGAAGGATGATTTGTAATTTGATTTGTTTCTAGAAAAAAATCAAATTAACATTTAATCAAAGTAGACAATTGAATTAGCACAACAAACTGCTGTTATTGTGTATCTTCCCTTTGACCCTTCGGGGAGATGTATCTGTGGACCAGCTATAAATAGGTGCCTGGATATACAGAAACATTTAATCATTTTTCAGTTGTCACTTTCTACTGTTAAAAGGAGTTTCTCCTCTCCTCTGTTGCCAATTGCTTGCTCAAGTGGGATCTGCTGGGTTTGTCCTGAGATGATTGTTGTTGTGATTTGGTGCTTTACAAACGACATTGAATTGAATTGAACTGAACTGAACTGAACTTGCTGCAACTTTACTGATGAATAATTAATGTTGTTCAAAATCCTTTGCACTTTGCCTCTCTCACTGTCCCATTCGCGTGCACACTCACACAACAGTGGCAACAGAGTCTGCCCATCAGGAGTAAAGGCTGAAAACCATTATAAAGCCTCATCTGGTTCTTTCAAACCAGGAACTCAGAGGGACGACTCAGACCACTTGAGTATATAAAAAATATAACCGTGCTGGTTTATTCAAAAAGTCACAGGCAAGAATTAACACTTCAAGTCCAGAGATCTTCCAACCCCCAGGCTGCCCGAGCAGCCCGGAAACCCAAAAGACCCCGAACCAAGCATTGCTATACAATATTAATCCTTTCTGGGCTGTCGAACCGTGACGTCACCCGATAAGCAAGCCTTGCAGCTGCCATAACGTTTAGCCAAAACATGAGGAAAAGTCAAGGTGCGTGACTGTTGTTTTCGTGGTGTGTATCTAAAACAATTGGACATAACCTTACACATTAAGACAAATATTAAGACTAGCATTACAGTTGACACTAACAGCAGTTTTCCTGTAACCTTGACGTGCCTGCAGTCTGCACTGCAGGCTGAACAGTTAACAGCCTAAGCCAGTCACCCTGTCTGCACTAAACATTCCTAGACAACAAATCTCTGAATATCTATCTAACTAAGAAATAACCTAACAGGAGCAACTGGTGGTTCAGTGTCTTCCTGTTGTCTAGCCCACAATCTGGGCTACTCTAGGCAAGCTCCCAGCCCAGCTTTGTCCAACCCATTGTCCAGCCCACATCATTACAGGGAAATGGCTCGTTGTGACAGGACTTGTGATCTGCAACAATGATTCCACAATTATTTTGTCAGCTGCTCAGATTTCTTTTCAAAACACACAGCAATCATTTCAAAATCAATGCTATGATTATACTGGACTTTAAACATACTAATTTCCCAACGTTTTTCCAGCTGCCCATTTGTGGAGGAGAGTGCTAGATTCAAGTGACCAGCATCAAAATACTTTTCAACTCCAGAGGTTAATGAGCAGTGCTCTGGAGCCAAAACAAGCGACACAGCAGTGTTGCTGTCACTGTATTTCCATGGTGATTAGTATTTGCTTGTTGTTTCTGCTGGATCTTTGCCATCATTAGCTGCATGTAGTTTTATCATGTGGCTTTACTGTCAGTACACTTTATGTACTGACAGTGTATCAGTAGTGTTGTTATTCCTCTAGTTGCATGTAGTGGTCTTGCTTCAGCCATGGCTGTATTATGGACTGGTAGTTGAATGAATACACTATAGAGTGGTACTTGCAAGAATCCAGTTTAATTTTTAAGCAGCTTAAATAACCATGGTTACATACGTACACAAATGTCACTTCGCAGGGCTTTCTGCGGGGTTTTGGCAAGAATCATTGTCTGATGATCTTGCTTTTTGCTGGGAATGCACCACTGTCTTAACAGTGTTTTTATTTTGCCTTGACTGACAGGGGGAGAAACTATATGTTATTGATTTCTTGCTGAAGAGCTGTACATAAAAGACTGTTTTATAGGCAGATGACATTCTCAGCCACATCTCATCCCAATCCTGGCCACATTTTCGCACAAAACATATCTACAGCTACAGTATATGATAAATTAAGCGCACTTTGTGTATTTCACATATTTGAAATATGAATTCCTCTCAGCTCCTCTACACCTCATTTGTTTTTGATTTTTGCCAGGTACTTTTGGCTCATGAAATACTGCCTGGCACCCATGTACCAGTGAAAGATGCAAAAGATTCTAATTTTTCACTTTACAGCAACTTTCAGTTCTGTCTGGAGACAAAGGTCTGTTTGTGGAGATTGAGTTAGTCTATGTTACCGCTGATATTACAGTGATATCTACGGTGGTACTGGTTGCTAACAGCTTTTGAGCTTCTATATTTTCTGCTTCATTCCCTCACTATTGTTGAGTTTTCTACTGGGCAGCCCCAGACATGATCCTGATCATGTCATGTGTGACTGTCTCACACACAGTGATTTTGTTACTTGTGTTCCATCTTGTCTGTCTTGGTTCCACTTATTCAGCTACCTGTCTATGACTGTGCTGTGTGTGTGTGTGTGTTTGTCTGATCATGAATAGAATATCATCCTGGAAATAATGTGTCATGTCAAGAATTTAGGGAAGCTGTCATTCTTTGTTGTTTTTTGGACTGTTCCAACACACACACACACACACACACACACAGAACCGCCAAGGCTGCCCCATGACTGGTGCACTAAAACACCCATTGCCATTATCCTCTCCTAATTAAACACAACTCATAGTCAGCCCTACTTGTCTAGTTCTCAGGGGCTCTCTCTCCAGACGTCACTTTCTGCACTTATGCAACATTTCTCACAAAGCAGGCACTTTCTGACATGGCTGTCATTCTGATTTGGAAGGTAGGAACTCCCACTGGGCATGTTAGATGCTTAACCAGTTCAGACACATGGGCCACTGTTGTATGAATTTTAACCGGTGGATGCGAGCAAATGCACCTGTGTCACACCACAGGGTGCAGCAGCTGAGCTCAGGATTTAGTCACAATACGGACATAAAAACAATTCTGCCATTTATTCTGCTTGTTTGTTCACTTAAAAAGGTCCAAGGTTGATGTGTTTTAGCACAGTGTTTTAAATAACTAACCAATAATCAATTAATTATCCATTGAAAACTATTAACTGCAGTTTTTGGAACTTATCTGCTTTTTAAGTTATCAATTAAGCAAAAATGTTTGAGTCCAGGATTTTCTGGGTTTTTACTGTTTTATATCAGTGTCATCTAAATATCATTGGGTTTAGAACTGCAGGTAGGACAAGATGGTTTAAGTACCACACCCATTGTTATTGCTGCTATACCTGTCAAACTTTGTGATTTTGCACAACTCATATGTATGACGGAGGCAAACCTATGACCTAGGTTTTTTTTAATAACCAATGTGTCCATGATTTCAGACAGAGGTAGGCAGCAGCAGCCCCTCATTGCTAGCCAGCAGCTGTTGCTTTTGCTGGCTGAAATGTTGGCTCTCACTGGCATATTTTAACAGCTGTTGCTAGTTGGTTAAGCTAATTTTAGCTCCGTGAGCTGATTGAAGATGCTGAACTTTTTAATGTTTCATGCTGACCTGTTTTAAGATGGTTCTTAAACATGGCTACTAGTTCTAATGTTTTAATACCTTGTTAGATTAGGGCACCAAGTCTTTATAGTGGACTACACTCTATTGATGAATTTATTAATCCAAGTTATTATTTCAGTCTTGAACTAAAAGCCAGGAATTCAGCAGTTCATTGACCTAGTTACTGGAAATAATAGACCAAAGATGACATGAGAAATAGCCAGTTCAAAGCTAAGTAAATTTATTTACAATATGTACAACAGGCAAAATGAGATGAAATATGCACTGAAATGGTACATTTGTAACAGAGATGGAACCAGTGGATGGCTGGAGGGATTACTGGTTGTTTGCAGTGATGGGAGTGAGTTACTCAGAGGAGAGGTCTGTGGAGGTCCAAAGTTCCAGAACGCCTTTCGAGGCTACGAGCTGAGACGGCGTTCCTCGTCTTTGGAGCAGGATCTGCCTTTCTCCTATGATGAGTCAGCTTTCAGTCTACAGCCAGAGCTGGTTCAGGCTTCACCAGGGTCTGGTTATGGTTGTGGCATTTGATGATGTTTCAAGGGAAGCCAGGTCTAATTTGAACAGTTCATCACAGGAGTGCTCTGGTGGTGTCTTTAGAGCTTAACACACAATTTGGCTTAAATACAATTTGCCTTCAATTATACAAAAAAATGTATTCTTTGTATATAGTGGCTGTGCCAGCTTTGTAGCCTAGTAAGTCGTGCTTGGCTATTAAAGAAGGCAGCTACAGCAGTTAGCCAGATATGCTAACTGTTGCAGCTTATTTTAGTTTAGACAAGCATAATGTTTCATCCATTTGTTACACTTTTCCTTTTGTGTTTTTGATTTTGATACTTTACAGAATATTGCACATCACTGCAGGCTGCAAAGCTAAGATTTGATGATCAAGGCTTCCTTATTTTAAATTGAATTAAAGGAATTTGCTTCATGAGTGGTTCACAAGATAGTAGCACAAGACTGCTGCTGGCACCTGCATCAGTTCATATTTCTGCCAGCAGCATTGCATCCCATGGGAACCTATACTTGGTCAACAGCTGACAGCTTAAATTTACATAAGATCCTAAAGTCTACCATGCATAAAACACACAGCTCAGTTCATCAGATTTGTTTCTGTTTGTCTCCTTTGCGTCATATCTTTAAGTCTGCCCTGCACAGTAGCCCAGTGCATGATTTTGTGTCCTCTCTCTTGTTTTGTGGTCCAGGTGGAATCACGGGACACGTTGAACAGCATCGCTCTCAAGTTCGACACCACACCCAACGAGCTGGTTCAGCTGAACAAGCTGTTCTCCAGGGCAGTGGTGCCTGGCCAGGTGTGAGCCGCCGTGCACTTCTTCAGTTATAGATTTAGTTGCATCACTCCATCCCTGTCCACAGCAGCCTTATATTTACAACAAACCACAAATTTCTCATTGTCATAACTTTCTTTCGCACTTAGTTATGCATTCTCAATGGTTTGTCTTGATCTTACAATCACTGAGCATTTCTTAGATGTGGGAATTTATGTGGAAACAATGGAAATAGAAGGTTTTTAGGTAACATCATGTTGCATGTATTTATCCTTTGTCTGTGACTCTGACTCACTAACCACATACCAACTATCTGTATCCCCAGTTGCGTGCTAATTACAGTGTCACTTGTGTCATTAAGATACAATTTATTGCTAAAGACCTATTTTGTTTCTAAAAGGGCATAATAATATGTGTGATCCTAATATTCTCCTAAAGACGCTTTAGTTCCGGCAGCATGACACATGCTACCCATCTTTAGCTTTAGCTTGCCAAGTGCTGCCAGCTTCCCTGGCTTCCATTTTTTCTTGTCTTTTCAGACAAGAAATAGATCAGAAGTGTAAATCTGTTTTTAATGGGTGACAAATATCCTAAATTATATTTTGTCACTCTTTTATCCTTGGCATCGAAATGAAATTCAGACGAATGGAGACGAGCCAAATGCCCCAGTCCTGTTGGCATCCTCCACCTTAGCTCTCAGCAAACAACGCTGAGTTGAGCTGTGTGCAAACAGTGGGACTGACCTGTCATCTCTCTTCTCCTTCTCCAGCTGGTTACAGCTACACGGCAACAAAAAGAGTTGATCTATTTAGGCCTAAATCTGTATCTAGATTGAGATTTCATCTCATAATGCTTGGACAGTTCAATAATTTACAGTATAAAAAAGTATGAGTATAAATGTTTAATGCCTCTAATAGATATTGTACAGGTCCAAATGAGGCAATTGTCCATGTCCTTTCTAGATGTAGTCACACTAGAGGGCCCACTTCTTTTGTCAGAGTTCAGGGATTTTTTTATCATCCATGCATTTGATATATTTTAATGATTGACTGAATCTGGAAAGCCTCCCATGTTTGGAATGCAATGCAATGAGCATATAGTGGCCCTCTCTTAAAAGATTAGTTTGATGTTTGATTGTATTCAGATCCTTTACTTAAGTGGAAGAAGCAGTACCTTGATATAAAATTACTCTGTAAATAGTACTGCAACACACAGATTTGCCTACATTTACTGTATGTGTTCTAATTCCATGATACCACCAGGTACTCCCTTCCCATCACTGTTAATTCTGACACCTTGACTTACTATCATAACAATCACTTCACAGTCACCTGCTTTCTGTTTATCCTTTTCACTGGTATGAGGCCGTCGTGTTATTTGCCTTGTAAACCTTTGGTTCACTTCCTGTATTTGCATGTGTCATGGTCAGTGTGTGTTTGCACAAAGGCAGCTCCTGTGTAAATACATGGATTGTGTTTGCAGGTTCTGTACGTTCCTGATCCTGAGTATGTCTCCAGTGTTGGAAGCTCCCCATCCCTCAGTCCCATCAGCCCATTGTCTCCCACCTCCTCAGAAGCTGATTTAGAGAAGGTGACGGTATGTTGACCACAACTCACATGCACAGTGTCACACACTCAGAAGATGGAATTCACAGTATAGTAACCTAATTATCTTTGTGCTGGTTTAAGGATTTATTTTTTTTTGTATTTTGTAGTAGCCTTGTACCTGCTACACTATGTTATATTTCAAAACTAATGTTAGGCATGTTAATCATCCTGCCAATAAAAAAGAAGAGATAAACTAAACATGTTAAATATTAATCCAGGGCCCGTGAGTTCAATATCATCAATCAGAAAATTTGCTAACATGCAAATATAAACAGCTGTATTTAGCAAATTTATTTCGAATGTTATCTCTGGGAGTTTTTGGCCAGTGAGGCAGGTGACTGGTATTGATTTATCAACCAAAGACCAATTCAAACTGTGGCTGCCCCTTTATGGTCATTAATTTTAGGCTCTACAAGCTAAAACGGATCACCTGGATTGCCACTCACAGAGGCTCAAATGCACCACTGGTTTCACTTGTGCATAGTGGCAGGAAGTGGTGACATGTCACCCTTTATATACAGTCTATGGTAGGCACACATTCAACTAAACCAAGAGGAATTTAGCGTCCAAGGTGATGGGCCATGTTGTCATGGACATCAAAGACAAAGAAAATGACTTGACAATAAGTCATAAATTAATGTTTATATGTGGTGACTTCAATATAGATTTGTTGAATCCTAACAAGCACACAGGAACTGAGGAGTTTATTAACACAATATATAGATGCAGTTTATACCCAAAAATTACAAAACCAAGTAGATTAACAACCCAGCATGCAACACTAATAGATAATATACTTACCAATGTTATTGACAGCAAAATGACAAGTGGATTACTTATAAATGATATTAGTGATCATCTACCAGTATTTGTGGTTTATGAGGGCCAGTATAGAAAAGAGAGGCCAAAAACAAATCTTTTCTATAGGAGGGTGACGAATGAACATGCTGTAAGGAGGCTAA